GTAAATACCCAGTAGCGCAATTACTGGATTGTAGGATAGTTCTATTTTTAACTTTTTGAGGAGCCTCCATGCTGTCTTCCACAGTGGCTGCACCAGCTTGTATTTCCACCAACAGTGCACAAGGGTTCCTTTTTGTCCACATCCTTGCCAGTACCCGTTGTTTCTTGTGTTGTTGATTTTAGAAGCTGGGCCACATTTGCAGAATGGCAGGGAGCTGTGTGGCTGTACTGCTTTGCAGAGTCTGGGTGGGGATAAGGGGGTAGTGAGAGGTGTGAGAAGTTTGGGGGTGCAGCCATGCTTACCCTGGGGCTGCCTCTGCGTGCCAGCACAGATCCCCTTCCGTATCCCTCACTTGGGCTCCGGCTTGGCCTTCACACCCTCCCCCTCACTGAGCCTCAGTCCTGGGGAGACACTGCCTTCCTCAGATCCTCCAGTGAGAGGCATGAAGAGGGTACAGCTTTTCTTTCCTTTCTTGCCTCAGGGCATGGCGATCTTCCTGCTGAGACCCTCAGATCTGCAGTCCATTCTCTCTGATGCCTGGTTTCACTTTGTCTTGTAAGTAGGTCTATCCCATTGGTCAGCACCGCACAGGCAGGGCTCAAGTCCTGTGTCGTGGGTGCTGTGTCCTCTGGAATGACCATCCTCCCACGTCACCATGTCTCAGTCATCCTGCCATAGTCTTGTGGCCAGGGACCTCCTTTCTCCCCTCTAGTAAGAGAGGCCCATGGATGCCCATGGAGAGGACCAGAAGACCCTACCATAGTGCCCACCATCAGGCTGCAGTGATGACTGACTTCACCCTGACATAGAGTCCTGGGCAGCAGATGGGGCAGAGAAGGCAGGAGGAGGCTTAGTAGTGTTGTTTACTTCTTTATGAAGGGATGGATGGTCTGGGCCAGTTCCTTCTAGTTGTGTGGGGGTCCAAGGTTACCATCTCGGACTCTGGCAGATCAGGGCTGGAAAGCACTGGAGAAATCATAGAGTCGCATCTGTAGCATGAAAAACCAAAGCCCAGAGCATGGAAGTGAGTCATGCAGAGCCTTAACCCCAGCCTCCCAGTCATCTTCATCTTATGCTAGAGGAGGGCTGACCACCTTAGGGCCCTAGCCAGAAAACCCAGCCCAGCAGCCTTTCTGAACGAGGTCACGTGCAGATGACATCAGAGGCTTACGTGACCCTTGTCTCTAAATGAACAGAGGCTGATTCGGCATTGCTGCCTGTGAATGGAGCAGGATTTGCAGCATGGGACGAAGAATGTTTGGCTCTATAGCTCTGTAGGTCCCCTCTTTTGAGCATTTGGGAAGCTGGGTCTCTATAGGACCTTGAATCTTGGCCCAATGTTTCCAAATACCTAGGTGTTTTGTTACCTATGTACCTGCCTTCTAGAGGCACGAACGGAATTCTTCATCCCTGCGGGCAGGTGGGGTGCCCAGATACTTCAGTGAGTGGTAGGCCAGGTGCAGGACTGCCCCATGATGTGAGCCACATGGGAGTCTTTTTCCCTTTGAGAAAATAAGATAATTCCAGAGAAGAATTCATTTATACAGCCACTGGCTTTAGTGCAGACAAAAGGCACCGATGCACTGTCCTTCTCTTCTGCTTCCTAGGTGCTTTGACAGTGATGAGGAGGGTGTATACACGCTTCCTCACTTCAGTCCAAAATGTATCGATCACCCAAACATTTGCTTTTCACTGCATGAGAAAAACAAGGATGCCTGTGTCCTAATTTAGCTACTTAGATATTTTATAACCGTGGAGACTGTGATGTTATAAGCAAGAGAGCTTTTTATCCAGATGTCTGCATAGCTGGTGGTTAGCGATGTTTAGGAGTAATTTTGATCCCGTGTGTTTGTTATATATTGTACCCTAATAATTTTAATTGTGGTAAAATACACGTAACATGAAAGTTACCATCTTAACCATTTTAAGTGTACAGTTCAACAGCATTAAGTATATTCATTTTGTTGTGCAACCAATCTCTGTTTAGCGTATCTATCGTTTAGCATATGTTATAGCTTTTAAAAAGATTTTATTTGTTTTTAATATTTATTTATTTTTGAGAGAGAGAGTGTGTGTGAGCAGGGGAGGGTCAGAGAGAGAGAGGGAGACACAGAACCCGAAGCAGGCTCCAGGCTCTGAGCTGTCAGCACAGAGCCTGACGCAGGGCTTGAACCCACAAACGGTGAGATCACGACCTGAGCCGAAGTCAGACACTTAACCGACTGAGCCACCCAGGCACCCCAAAAAAGATTTTAAAAAGTAGGTCATGGGAGACTTTTGTTGTGAATGGCTTTTAAGTATAGACATGGTCAGTTTTTGTCATTTTTGTTAAAAATGCAATTATTCACTGTATCCTGTCTACCCCAGTGGTTTCCTGACCTATGTGGGGCTCAGAAATCACATGGAATCACGTGGGTGATTTAAAAAACATCCAACTGCCTGGGCTGCTCTGCAGGGCTTCTGAAACAGAATCTCCTTGAGTCCTGGGGATCTGTATTTTTAACAAGTCCCTGTCAGCTGCAGCCAGCCCACTGTTGGCTCTGACTCGCATCTGCTGATGGCTCCTGCAAGGCTGGATTTCAGACATGGTTGAGTGGGGCCAGGGCAGCCTCGCCTGTCTCTTTGGCATTAGCCCGCAGGGTGCGGGAGGTTGGGGATTTGAGTATCTACCCGTATGCTGAGGAGGAGTAAGTAAGGCCCTTGTCTCCTGTGTCTCCTGAACAGTTTTGTCCAAGCTGTGCTTGTGATACTGTCTGTCTTCTTGTACTTGTTTGCCTACAAAGAGTACCTCGCCTGCCTTGTGCTGGCCATGGCCCTGGGCTGGGCCAACATGCTCTACTACACGCGGGGATTCCAGTCCATGGGCATGTACAGCGTCATGATCCAGAAGGTGCGTTGGAGCTTTTGAGCATCGCAGACAGGCAGGCTCTGCAGCAGGGGAGCCCTCAGAGAATGTCCATTTTCAGGTGGGGAGACAGGTCTGGAGAACAAAAGGCCCTTGTTTCATGGGCCAGCCTCTGCTCTTTCTCCCAAACCCCACCGTCTCTCTTTGCCTGTGGTCAGGCTTTAAGTGTCCAGACCCGAAAACACCTGGCTTGTTGGACACAGGGAAGGAATAACGCTTTATGAAGAAGTATGCTCACACCCAGGCAGTGGTGTGCTGGTAAATATTTAATGACCAGCTCTCTGGGAAACACACACACACACACACACACACACACGCACACGCACACGCACACGCATACACACACACATTATGTTTATTATAAATTTTACTATGCAAAGAATGAGTAGTACACCATTTACAAATAATAAAATAAATTTTGCTCTTTGTTGTAAATTCCACATAGCGAGTTGAATCCAGCAGAATGATTTGTTGATTTTGTTGAGCTCTTCCATCTGTTGCCAACCTGTGGTTGCAACTGACAAAAGTATTGTTGCAAGCATAGATGCTGGTTGGTATTTTTCTTGACTTGAAGGTGTGAGATGAAGCCTTATGTGGGAACTTCCCTTGTTTGTCAATGATGTGAGCCACTTATTTGCTGAATTGGATGATAATTTTCAAACGCTGGAAGACTGTTTCATTAATGTTATTGTGTAATTCACCATACAGCAGCTACAGATAGGATACATTCGGAAGTTTAATCTGCCTTAACATTTTCTCTATCATTGTCTTAATTCCAGACCTAGACAATCAGCAGAATAATGTCTCTGATTTGTACCATTTACCAATTTCCATGGTGCAAATCCTACCATGGCTGATTTCCAGCTACCAGTACCGACATCATCAAACACAGAGTCGGGAAGAGATGTGCAGTAACACATTATGTAGTACACGCACACCGTATGGCTGCGGTAGATGTAAATAACCTTAAGAGCATAGGTAATTGCAAAATAACTAAGCGATGAGTGTTGAATATTATCTTTGTTTTGAACATAATTTACTTAATTATAAGCTTATGCGATTTAATTTTTAATAGTGGTTGTGTTTAAACACCAGCTTACAAAATTCATGAAAACGTAACCGTCAGCTCTTACGAGCGCGTATGTGCTGGCTCCAGCACACCACTGCCCCCAGGAAGTGTGAGGATTTCAGACGTGAGTCTGTGAAGAAAGGTGCTCCCATACAGGCTGAATCATCAGGGACTGAGACAGACTGTGTTCCAGGAGGGAGGAGGGAGGTGAGCAGTCAGGGAAGGGAAGGGAAGGGAAGGAAGGCTTCTTGGAGGAGGTCGGCCTGGAGCTGAACTTTGGAGCATCAGGGGGATTTGTCTAGGGGAAGGGAGGACAGCCTGAGGGAAGGCATGGTTAGGGTGAGGGGCCTGGTGAGGGGAAGCAGTAAGGAGATCAGGGTCTAGTGAATATGTGCTCAAACCTTACCCTTGAATCATGTTTCTTTCTTTATAGGTCATTTTGCATGATGTTCTGAAGTTCTTGTTTGTATATATTGTGTTCTTACTTGGATTTGGAGTAGGTAATTGATTTATAAATAATAGGAACTCCCACATTTGTAAAGCACCTTCTATAGATGTCAAAATGATAAGGCACAGGAGCAGCCTCAGCAACACTTATGTCACCTACCAGTGGAGCACTTGCCATGCTAAGCATTTTCCAAGCATTGTCTTTTTACTTCTCCCAGTATCTCCACTAAGGGGGCGTCATCATCCCTGATCATAAGGTAACTGAGGCTTAGAAGCAGACCCGTCACTCTTGTCCATCCACACTGTGGGGTATGCCACCCACATTCACATCCAGCATGTTATGTGGCCCCACAACCTGAGGTAGGCTGGGCAGGCGGTTTTGGCCCCATTTTACAAATAGGAAAACTAAAGTTTGCAGAAATTTGACTCATCAATGATCTTTGAAAAATAGGAGTAAATTAATGCATGGGGATAACCTCCTTTGGCCCCACGCATCGTGTTACTTGTAGTTTACTTCGGATATATCTATGAGAGCCTCTGGTCTGCTGGGGACTGGAGATAGGGAGGCCCCACTTAAAATCTCTTCATTTGCACAACCTGATTTTATTCTTATTTTATTTACAACTCCTGCAGAGAAAGATATCATTGTATTTTCCCATGCCAGTTCTCCTCCTCCCATCCACCAGCCCCCCAGGGATCATTGGCATTTGAAATGAGGCAGCCATCCCCATCTTCTGGTATCTTTGCTGGACCACAGTGTGCTTATTTATTTGCTCCTTCACTTGTTTATTTATTCATCCATCCATTTACTCATTAATTTGACCATCCATCCATCCATCCAACAATGAGCCACTAGTATGGTGTGTTGGAGAGAAGAGAAGAAAGAAGCCAGGTCTTGGCCAGGGAGTCTCCCTACAGAGCATTAGAAAGAGACTCAGGACCTTACAGTCTTGGAGGATGGCCCAGGCTATAGGAAGTTGGGAGTCCAAAGCCTGGTTGGGGAACCAGGGATACATGTGGATTATAATTCACAACTCTGCAAGTCTGTGAGTGATCAAGGGCCAAATGGCAGGGTAGAGGAGCCTGTTTTGTTGGGCAGGAAGAGCTTTCTGCAGGAGGTCAGGGCAAAGAACCAGCCTGATGAAGCTTCCAGGAGCTGAGGCTGGAGGTGAAATCTAAATGGCCAGAGAGAATGAGGCAGTAGGGCTGCAGCGTGTATGTGGTAGGGGAGGGTGGGGGGGGGAGGGGGGAGGAAGGGGGAGAGGGGGGAGGAAGGGGGGGCATGTGTCTACATGCAAGTATGCATGAGCTTGTTGGGTAATTAGCCAGGCACAGAGCCAGAGGAGAACACCCTGTTATGTCCTCCCAGCCCTGGCTTCATTGATCGAGAAGTGTTCCAGTGACAACAAGGACTGTAGCTCCTATGGCAGCTTCAGCGATTCGGTGCTGGAACTCTTTAAGCTCACTATAGGCCTGGGCGACCTGAACATACAACAGAACTCCAAGTACCCCATCCTCTTTCTGTTCCTGCTCATCACCTACGTCATCCTCACCTTCGTCCTCCTCCTCAACATGCTCATCGCCCTGATGGGAGAGACCGTGGAGAACGTCTCCAAGGAGAGTGAGCGCATCTGGCGTCTACAGGTGAGCCTGGCAGAGGCCCCGGCACGGGGGCCTTCACGGGGACCAAGTTCAGCACACGGTATTGACAACTGTCTGCACCAGTGGATCTGGGGTGGGGGCCTGGGAATCTGCATAAGCGCTCTGCGGTCGGCCAGGTTTGAGGAAGTCTTAGTCCAGGTTCCCTGGGTAGAGGGTCTAGGCAGTGTGACTGGACAGCGGCACATGTGATGCAAACCCAGGCTTATGGACATGTACTGCTCAGAGTTAATGGCGTGATACGTGGATGTTGAACTGTGACCTTAGATTGCATTGAGAGGAGCAGCATAGGGCCTAGGACAATTCTGCTGTCCTCGACCCTGGCTGCCACCTCTTACACGCTGTGGGCCTTATACACTGAGGACACTACCCCATAGGATGGTCCAGAACCGGTTACCAGGCCTGAGACAGGACTGGAACCTGTGCCTCACAAGAGAAGGTGTTGGAACTAGAGTTCAAGAAGGTGAGGGTTCCCTCAGATATCTGCAGAGCTACTTGTGGGAGGATAGTTTCCTTCTGTGGCCCCAAAAGGCAGAACTGAGGTGTTGGGGGCAATGACCAGGAAGTTTCTAATTATTATGGCCTTCTTAATTGGTTCGTTGATTATATTCAGGATAGATTTGACAAATTATTGACAGGAAAACTGCTGAGGGGTAGTCCAAGGCTGGCATGGAGGTGGGACTACGTGATGTCTGCCCCTCTCTTCCCTGTGGGATCCCAGGATCCTAACATTTTCACTTAGGAAGCTGCTGGACTTCCAGAAACATTGTTTATGTTATGTTTAAAGCAATTTGAACACTTTTCCCAAACTTACTGGCTTTTCATTTTTGAAATCTGTGGATTAGCCGAACCCTCAGGATCTATGCATTAAGCGCCCAGTGGAGGGAGAGCTGGCTGTTTGGTGGTGTGTGTGCATGTACTTGTGTGCACGTGTGCACGTGCGCATGTGTGCACAACCCTGTGGAGATGTCTTCCTGGGCTGGCTCCTCACTGATGTGCTTACTCTCATTTATGTCCCCAGAGAGCCAGGACGATTCTGGAGTTTGAGAAAATGTTACCAGAATGGCTGAGAAGCAGGTTCCGGATGGGAGAGCTGTGTAAGGTAGCGGAGGAAGATTTCCGGCTGTGTCTGCGGTAACAAAGGGAGAGGGGCCCCCGGGTGGTGGTGGTCTTCGGGTGGGGAGAGAGAGATGAGGCGGTGAACGTTGGAGAAACGGTGCCACCGCTTGCTTCCCAAACCACAGCTACAGTCGGTTCTGACCTCCTCGGAACAGGGAATTTGCTCTTGTGGGGTTGCTAGCCCTGGGATGAGGTTTCTCGAGCTTCCGCAGGGAGAGGAAAGGAGACTGCTGGTTGCAGTTCCCCTCTCTGCCCCCTGCAGGGGCCTCCATGGCCTCTCCCTGACACTGTCTGGTTTAGGAAACATTTGCTGGCCTGGCGCTCTTTGTCCTCCTCTCTATCCTGTGTGGGTTCATGTGACCCAGGGGACCCGAGGCACATTTCGTCACTGGCAAGTGGAAAGTGAGACAGCTACTTTCGACAGATATCAGGCTGTCTGGTTTTTAGAAAGTGCTTGTTCATGCCGTGACCAACTTTTCTGACGATCCTACCCCCGTCTGACTGCCTGACCTTCCACACTGCCCTCTGTGTATCACCTTACCGGAAACAGCTTCTCTGACTGAGAATCCCACACCTCGGAAACCACCGTTTCTGGCTGTCATCCTTAGCCTAACAAGTGTCTCTAATTTTGACACCCTCATTCTAGAGATGTTCTCTGAATGTGAACTTCAGCCAAACCACTGCCTCCATTTATAATCTAGCACCTTAGACTCTGCCCACTCTTATTGGGGTTTGAACCCTAACCACCTTCACCTAGTGAGACCTTAACCCTAGTTTAACCCTAAACTTCTAAACTTCCACAAGTTTACTCCTCACACTGTCATATCTCAGCCTGGGCCCTCCTCCCCTCCTTCCCCATAGACCAGTAAGGAGCAGCTGTAGCTGTCTAAAGATGTCCCCTTGACACCTCTCTGAGTTTTGGGGCCCCACACACTGGGAGGAGACCAATCCCTTGAGGCCTGGGAAAATGGGGACTTGGGTAGATTTCAAACCCTAAAAATGCTGACATGACCATGTGAGGTAGGAGTCCCAGATCCCTGGGGTGGACAGAGGAGGGCCGTCTAGGACACCGCAAAAGCCATGCTATTTGTTTGCATCTAATGAGGTGCAGTTGAGAAATAGGATGATTATCACACTTGCAGGATCAATGAGGTGAAGTGGACTGAATGGAAAACGCATGTCTCCTTCCTCAATGAAGATCCAGGGCCTGTAAGACGGACAGGTACTGTTGCTGTCAGAAAGCGTGGCCACCACACCTGTCTGACCATGTGATCTTAGGCAAATCATGTGTGAGGGCCCCGATTTTCCCCATCTGCAAAATGGGAGGGTTGAAGCAAATTGTTTCTCAGGTCCCCTTCAGCTCTGACAGTAAATTTTTTTTTAATGTTTATTTATTTTTGAGAGAGACAGAGT